TTTATTTAAATATTTTAAAATTTAAAAAATATAGATCATAAGCATATTTTTAACAATTTTTCAGACAAATTTGCCTGGAAAAGCTTACAGATTAAGGGATAAGAAAAAAAATAAAATAAAATAAATAAAGATAAATTATAAAAAATAATAAGATAAAGAATAAATATTTTTTTTTCTTTAAACAGTCATGCTAGTACTTTATTAAGATTTTGAAATTACTTTTACAATTATATAAATATTTCTAACAACTAAGTCTAGCATTACCCAGCCATCTTATTGGCATCTAAATACAACCTGCTATATTACTTTAAACAGAAGTAAGCTGCTTGTTTAACTTCTTAAAATCTATAATAGAAAGATTTTTATTTTTTTATAACAAGCTTTTAAATTGTCTTTCTAACTTTATTTTCAAGTTGTTTTTTTTTTTTTGTTTTTTGTTTTTTGTTTTCTCAGTTTTTTGCTAACTAGTTTTTTTTTTTTGAATTTCCCTTTTTTTTTAGTATTTTTTTTTATTTTTTTAATATTTCTTTTTTTTTTATATACAGTTGCACCCTTCTAAGTGCACACCTCCTAAGTACAAACCTTTCCAATATGCAAACTATAGCTTGGTTCTAAACTTGGGACTTAGACATACTCGATATTCTGCATATGCACAAATTTTTAGAATTCTATACATATATATACACTTTTGTAAATGCATACATGTGATTAACTTTAAAATTAACCAATAATAATATATATTTTTTATTCTAATATGATAGCATATCTTTAAATATAACTTAGCAGTTAGTGGGTATTTTATAACTTTATGCAAAGTACAAGATAATATGATAGATGCTGCATTTTTTTTTATTGTTACTTAGCAAAATTTATTTCAAGCAAACTTTAGATTTTGTGTGATATCTGCCTACCAAAAAGGTTCTTAAATATAAAAGCTAAATAATAAGTATCATTAGCTATATATAAAAAATCTATTTTTTTTTATAAGCAACCAAAAAAAACATATTTTATTTGATTAAACATTATATAAAACAGTTTATCATGCTTATGTATATCATATGAAACCTATTCAGTTAAGCTTCAATCCTAGCTTTTCCTTTACACCTAATCTTATATTTAAATGCTTCTTGATTAGTAGAAATATACAATTTTTCATTATGTCTATTTCATCATATATATCATCAGTTTTTCTTTAATTTTCATTGTTTTTTATAAAAAATTTATTGATTTTGCTTTGTTGCATTTGGCCCACCTTCATTTTTTTAATGAACTTTTCAATTTTTCTTAAGATATTAATATGCTTTTTAGTACCATTTTGCTAAAGCAAAAACATATATACAGTTTTCAAGCTTTTATTTACCATATTGGCACTGACAATAGAGATTTTAAAGCTATTATTCATATCATCAAAATTAGCAGTTGTTGAGTCATTAGTTCTGAACATTTTAACAAGCTCTGTAATAACTTGATCATTTAAAGAAACTTCATAAATAACATTTTCTTCAGGAATCACCAAAAACTTCTCAATTTGCATAGAGTAAGAAAGGTTAAAAGCTTTAAATACATTTGCAATATTATTGAGCACAGATTCTGTGATTTGGCAAAGATATTTTAGGAACTTTGTAAAGTATCTGTAGCAAGAAGTTTTGTATAGTACTAACAATTTTGAATTATATTAATACTAACTTTATCTCAGCTTTGAATAATAAAATTAATAGCTTGTAATATATTCATTTTTAAATCTTCTGCATGCTGTTCATTTTTGACTTTCTGTAGCATTCAACTTAAAAAAAATGTAATTAATGTAATATTCAATTTTATTTTCTTGTACATACATATTAAAACACTTTTTTTTTTAAAAAAAAAATCTTACTGAACATGAAAATGATAATAATATCTCTTAAAGCTCAAAATGATTCCAGCATCCATAGGCTAAATCTTTGAAGTTGTGTTTGAGAGAAAAAAAGTAACATCAGTAAATCTGAGAATAACACTGTTAAGATTATAGCTAGAGCAATTGTTAAGAAGTAAGAGCACATATTAATCTTGATATCTAAGACCAACTTGACAGTCAAATTCTCTAATTCATTCTTGAAAGATAAACATAATCATTCAAGCTTTAGCACTGTTTCTATATTTTATAAGTAAATTATTAAGATTTATGTTTTTGAAACAGCATGGTCTCTGGTATCTTCTGATTATAAGAGAATTTATTTTATATAAGCCATCAGTGTTTGCACAAAATGCAATTGAGAGATGTTCTTTATTTATTTTATGTTCAGAAAAATGTTGGATTGCTAATGTTCTATTAGATTCTAATCTTAAGATAAATAAGGTAAATTTTAATAATATAATATTGTAATATAAAAAAAAAAAAAGGTATGAACAAAGTTTTACAAATAAGAAGTTATACTGATAAAAAAGACCAGCTTATCCATATTGTAAATCCTTTTGACAGAATAATTTGCATATATATTTATTAATAATGGCATAAATTATTAATTGCCACCATATCAGCAAATATGGTTTTTTCTTGAAGTTGATGTAGATAAATACCATTTTGATTTTTGAACTTGTAAAGCCAGCCAGAAGAAAAGTTTAGTGCTCTTTGAGAAATTCCCATACCATTAGCAAGTATCTTTGCTTTTTTGATAAGTAAAGCATTGCTTAAAACTGTCTGATGATAATAAATTAGCATGAACTCTTTGAAGGTAAAATTAAGTTCTAGATAAGTAACAGTCTTATAATGTTTAGCATTAGAATTAATATTTTTGTTTTCAATATATTTTTTACTAGCTTTCAAGATATGCAAAACTGTGCTTTTATTAACTTTAAGGTTTCATTTGTTCTTAACTTAGTCAACATATTGAGATTGAGTTTTTTTATTATTATAAGCATAGATACAAAATTTATGTCTTTGTGCATCAGTAAGAGTTATTCTCTTGAGTTTGGACATTTATTTTTTTTAATAAAAAAAAAATTTGATTATACGAAAGTTATTTTTATAATTTTTTTTTTGCACTTTATAATTATATAAGTTCTAATCAGTTTTTTTTTCTGTAGTATTATTTTTTTACAATAAGTTTCTATGTTGTGCTAAGCTCTGCTAAATTATATGTTTTATTTAATTTAATCTAGAAAGCAAGAAATAAATTTATTGATTTAATCAAATAAGTTCAAAGAAGGTTGTTTGATTTATTAGACTAGCATTTATGACATATAATAAAAAGTTATTAGAAAGTAAGCTTTTTATTTTTGTAATAATTATCATGAGTGGTTTAATAATAAAGTTCATATTGCATGAGATGCTTATATACAAGTGATGTTTTGCATAGCAATAGAACTTTAGTTCTAGGCACAAACCTAAAATTGAACTAGAACTAAAATAGAAAAGGGTATTATTTGACTCTGAAAAATTTTTATGTTTACATATTAATGTGATTAATGCTTATATTTACAAGATAAATGATGTGATTAATGAATAAAAGGTAATGTTTAATATTTTAATAATCTGATAAAGATTAAAGATTAAGATGACCTGTAATTAACACATTAATTTAAATAATCAAATTCTTCCTAGTAGTGAAAAATTAAAAAAAAGTTCTTGAAGCTCAAGTTCTTAAATTTAACCAGAATCTGAAAAATTTTTTTTTTATTTATCATTATGCATACTGTTAAGATTAGTAAAATGGTGCTATGGAATTAAAGAGATAGCAGCAATATTGTCACAAATTTTTTATTGTTGTTAAAAATTCAGCATATATAAAAAAATTTTTTATGCAGAAATGTTATTTTATTTTTTAGTAATTGTAGCATGCACAAATTTTTAAACTAGTTATTAATTAAAAAAGCTCTGATCTTAATTTGGCCTTATTTTGTACATTGTTCTTGTCTTTTAAAATAGAATTCATAATTGTTTGTTGTTTTTGCTATACCAGATTTAGCAAAGTGATTTATTATAACTTTAAAATTCTTTATGATTATCACTGTTTCAAATTAGTATGATAAGTAAATTTTGTGAACCTGCATATTACTATTGTTAAAATGCAGGATTTATAAAGTTCACAAAATTTGCTTATCACATTAATTTAAAAACAACAAGTTTTTTAATAGAAAATATAATTTTATAATAGATTCAATTGTAAAAGCTAAATTACATATAATAGATGTTAAATTACTTACTTGTATAATGAATCTAAATCTATAATTGTTAAGTTCTATATATTTCATTATAATGTACAGTATAAAAAATATGTTAAAAAATTTTTTAATCTGAATTAATCATAGTTATATGAATTTATTAAGTTTATAAATCTATTTTCTCTAAATGTATATTTTTATTCAATCTCTAATATATGCATTAATTTTATAAATACATATCTTTTCTAAGTGCAAATCTATATCTGGTCTTTAGAGCATGCATTTAGAGGAGTGCAACTGTATTTTCTTTTTTTTTGTTCTTTTGTATTTCTTTTTTGAATAGATGAATTTCCTTTTTTTAGTTATTGTTTATTTGATTTATTTTTATATTTACTTTTTTTTATAAACTTTTAGTATTGTTTTATACTTTTTTTTCAATTGTCTTTTCATTTTTTGTTTTTTTTTTGCATTACTTTATGTAATTTTTCTTGATTTTTGTTTGCTTTAGTTGACTGTTATTGTATTTTTTTTTCTTTGTTTTGTATCTGTTCTATTATAAGTTCTTCTATTATAATATTCTTGTTTTGTTTGATAATATTGATCTTCTTTTTTGGCTACTCTTTTTTTGCTTTCTTAATTATTTTCTAGTTATACATATCAAAGCAATCTCTACTGAGTTTTTTTTGTTAATACAGTAACAATTTCATCTTTTCTATTTGGTATTGCAAAGGTTTTACTTACTTGATTAAAAAACACCTTGTTGTGTATACTATTTGTTACTCAATATACTCTTTTAATATAAATTGTTATTAGGCTTTCTTTTGATTTTATATGCTACTCATATTTAGTCTAATTATTAGTAATTCTTGTTTGCTACTTGTTGTTCTAAAATTTTTTATATATTATATTTATCATTATTTAAATTAAACTTGTTTGCACATTTATCAATATACATATTTGTTTTGTTTGTCTATTTATATATTGCTATGATCTACAAAGCTATACTTTTAGATTATAAAGAATTCTTCAAATTTTTACTTTTTAAAGTATTAACTAAGATGTTTTTCTTCTCTATCTATTTTACTAAGTTATTTAAAAATTTTTTCTTTTTGCTTTTGTTATATCTTTTTTACAAGTTTTATCTTTTTTTTTAAACTTATAAAATTAGATTAAATAGTTATTTTTTGATAAACTTTTAAAATAGTTTTTTATAATTTTGTATATAAATAATTAATAAAAAAAGTTGTAATATCTATATATACATCTATTAGTTAATTATTGAAATTTAAAGATAAAATATTTAAAGTAATAATTTTAATACTTTTTTATTAGATATTATATAAATAAGATCTAATTTAGATAAATTAACTTAAATATTATTTAGTTAATAAAGTTCTTATATGTTTTTTAAAATGTTTTAAAGATTATTTTTGTTTTTTCTTTTTTTTGATATTAAGATAACTTCTTTAGTTTTTTGACTTTATTAATACTTTTTGGATAAAGCTATATATAAGTAACTCTTTCTGTAGATCACTTATACCAAAAAACACAAAAAAACATTTAATTATTTCTCAACATTTTACTA